AATAAAACATCCAGGGGGGTGAATACTTTGTATAAGCACTGTGCAATAATCTGCAGAGGGCAATATTGTGGATGACAGACCTGAAACACCATCCTGACAAATCCTGGTGATTTTAATCCGATGATGTGACAGATGGAGAGCTGTGATGTTTGCCTCTGGCTAAAGGCAGTCAGTCAGCGTTGGACGGGGAGCTGAGAGAAGAGGCAGGGCAGGCTGGAAATGCTTTGGCTCGGCGGTTTGTGAACGTCTGAAACAAAAGGAAAACATGGAAGCATGACTGGACACTGACCAGAAGACACACAAGGTAATTTATCACCCCAAATTACGAAGAGACGCTCTCGTTGCTCGGCTTTCACTTTGTATCGTCTGAGTAAGCTAACTAGCTAGCGTCAATCATAGCAGTTATACAAGTTTACCTCGCGGCTTCGAGTCCCGCTGCTTTAAGAACATTAACTTCTCAGGTCAGCTGGCGTAACGGGCTTCTTCACACCGAGGTACGGCAGAAAGTTTGGGGGAAATTAAAAATATATATATTTAGATATATCAGAGCGCGTGGCAGTAGATGCGACCTCCCCGGGTCCCTTATTAGCATTGCTAGCTCGCCTTCATGTGGGCTAAAAATTGAGACGGGACCGACTCTGGGTGGAAATAATGCCGAAGAAAGCTCGACACCACACAGCTTCGGTGATGTAGGTTTCAGYCGATGCGGGTTCGTTGCTCTTTAAGGCTAAAATGAGTGTTTGTTGCTGTTAAAGCTCCACCGACGGCTATCAGGCTAACACGTGTGCTGTGCGCGTGCAGCTTGACAGCAGCTTCTTTTTCATTCATTTGAGACAAAACCGTTTAGTTATAACTTTAACTCTTTGACTTTTATTATTCCTGTGAGWTGAAACTCCTTCAGAGAGGCTGGGRTTGTTCTTTATTCAAGCTACGGCTTTAAAACAACAACAACGTAGAAAACATTTGATTTGTATTCATTCAGTCAGCCCTTAGCTAAAAGTAGTAAATGCAAGTATCCTTTAAGTGGAATTAAAAATAAGAGTGTACTCCCAGTTTACTTTTTATGTACTAATCTGAGATATACTTAACCAAGTTTATCCTACACTATTCTTGGCTTGTACTAAGAGTTTACTTAATAATAATATTTAAATTTTTGGCCAAGATAAACTAGTAGTACACTGAAAGTACATTTTTACACAGACTGGTTAATTTGTAGTATAAATCAAAATTAAACTAAAAGTATATTTAGATAAATACTTTCAGTATACTTTTGAGTGAACTTTATTAAACTTATTGTGGGCCATTTTAGTCTTAGAAGTATATTTGTTTGTAAACTGCTAGTATACTTAGCTATATCTGTGTACATGGTAAATAAAAGTCTATTTAGGGAAATACACTTTTATATACTTAAGTATACTTAATGCCATGCACTTAAAGTATACTTCTTTTTTTGGTAAGTTTATAAACTTCAAAAGACAGTAGTTTTTATAAACAAAATGTTCCAATTTTGTACGAACGATTATTAAATCAGTATAATTTCTAGTACACCACTAGTACATGGTGCCTAGTATACTTGATATAGCTACTTAAACTTATACTCAAGTATGCTACCTTTTGCTAATGGAGTCTATAAAATGATACTTTACTATATTTAAAGTGCCAGTGGCACGCACATCCTTCAAATACAAAAAAGTTAAAGGAAATATCTTTAGATTTAAGAAAGTTAACATAACACACGATTTTACCAATTTTGTTACATAAACAGTATATTTTCTTTAATCTAAAGTGAAACAGGAAATGACATCAAAAAGGAACTCTTTAAGAAAAGTGGTTTGTTTATTGAAATATTTTTTGAACTCTTGACTCTTCATCTCTGTGATAGAGATTGAAAATAAATAAACATCAGATTCTTCTCTACACTTGATCAAGTCAGCTCAGTCTGGGACTGACTCGTGTTGGCTCCCTGGATCAGGACCTTGAGCTCCAGCAGCCTCAGCTGAGCTGTCCGCTTCACACCACACCAGCCTCGGACAGAGGAGGAGGAGCGCTCCGACAGCCTGACATAAAAAAATAAAAGCATACAGCTGCAGCTGCTCACAAGATCGCTAGTTTAAATCAGGAATAAAAGTGTTGGGTCTTGTTTGACTGAAGTTCGGTCCGTTAGGGCTGCAGCTGCCCCGCTGTGTTTCTGCCTTTTTTCCCTCCTCCCCTCCTGCTGTGCAGGACGTACTGCTGGTGTGTGTGTGTGTGGGGGGGGGGGACGGAGAGAGAGAGGGAGAGAGCAGCACAGCAGTCAGCTCTCCCCACCCGAGGCTGAAGGTCAACAGACGATCATGCTAAGCTTGCTAACTGTTCCACCCTCTGACTGCTGCAGGGGYGTGTCTTAGAGAGAGGCTTTTATACCAGAACACAGCCGCTGTGACGAAACCGTGGAGAAGACACGTCACCGTGGAGAGCTGCTAATATGCAAATTAGCCTGCAGTACCACTGCTCTACGCAAATGAGCAGCAAAAACACATTTTTAGACCAAATATTACAGATTTGAACAAATACGTATAAAAACATCAAAATTAGCACAGAAACGGTACTATATAACATTTTAGACACATTCTAGACAGTTTATCAGCTAAAAAAAGTTAATTTTGGGGTAAGTTACTCTTTAAATGTTTATGTATGTGTTTAAGGACTGTGGAAGCAAATTTCTTGGCAGCTTTATCAGATAAGATGCAACTTATTGCCATCTGTGAAAGTATAAGTTGGTTATTTGAAAGTAAGAATGATCCCATGATCTTATTTTAAACTCCTAGTTTTTTCTTAAAGCAGGAGTTTCCAATCTTGGTCCTGGAGGGCCACTGTTCTGTATGTTTTWGACGAATCTCTGCTCCAACATATCTAATCTGACTGACTGATTAGCAGGCATCTGCAGAACACGAAGAGGTAATTCAATCACTGAATCGGGTGTGTTGGAGCAGGAAAACGGGTCAAATGTGCAGGATAGCCGCCCTCGAGGACCAGGAACGGACACCTCTGCTTTAAAGAAATTATGCGTACCACCAATGCTGCCTCTAGAGATGTTTTAATGAGGGGAGGGGTCATGTGGGGGGGTCAGTGAAAATTCTGGGGTGGCACCAAAACCAAAAACTAAAAGCCAGAACAGAATTTCAGGAGATTTGTTATGCAGTTATTTGTATGCTGTCTTAAGCTGAGAAATTATTGTGAAGTTGTTTGGTCATACGTTGACTTTAATGCTTTCGATCTCATCGAAATCACAACAACGCCACACTCTGTATGTGTTGTGAATGACTCTCAGCTACTACCACGTCAAATTTGAGCTCCTGTAGTTAATCTAGTTGTAGCCTTTTTTGTGTTTAACGGGGATTAGCGATGGCAGCTACCTTCAAAAGTTAATCAGTTAAAAATATACCTGCTATGTTATTTACCTGAAAGTATCCATCCATTAAAGTCCATCCATGGTTAATCAGCTATTTTGATAACAGATTTAAATGTAATTTACCGGTAAATTTTATAGTTGTGAGGGTAAAACAATGTTAGCTGTAGTTTAAATTATTTAATTATTGTACACCATTTTCCATGACAGTGCCCGTGATGTAAAATTTTTGTAATACATATGAATGAATTTTTAGAAAGAGGATGTTGATAAAATATTGCAAAAGAAATTTCATGTCGCTGAGATGAACAGTTGTTGAGATATTTCCCTGTGAAGTAACAGGAAGTGATGTCAAAGGGGAATGTCTGCATGTAAACAGAGCGTTGCTAACAGCTAATAACACAGACTGTAGAGAAGAATCTGATGTTTAAGATTATTTTGAGTCTCTAGAGAGGTGAAAAGTCAGAGTTCAAATAATACTGTTTCAATAAACAAAAACCAGAGAGTTTTCTTTGTTAACAAGTTCCCCTTTGATGTCACTTCCTGTTTCACTTTGAGCCAGGTAAAAAAAATAAACCAGTTATAGGACAAAATGGGTTAAATCGTGTGTGTTATTCCAACTTTCTTAAATACAAAGATGTTTTCTTTGACTTTTTGCATTTGAAGAATATGCACATCGTAAGWGCTCACAAATAAATCTTGTTTTTTTATATTTGGAATGTAAAAAATGCATCATTTAATAGCAACACAATGTACTGAACACTGTTTGCAACAATATTTGTTTGGTTTTGACCTAAAGGTTTGATCTCTCAAGTTCAAAATAAAATGTATTTTTAGAGTTATCAATATGATCTTTTGTTTAGAACTCAGTGAGTTTTTCAAACCATGCTGTACATTTTTAACAAACATGACCTCTCTGTCTTTTTTTCTTGGTTAAAGGCTCACAGATTGTAGTAAACATGGGGCTCTGCGGTGTTCTGCTGCACTGATGAATAAACACAGTTTGTAGGTAAGTTCTTAGTATTTACCGTAGTTTAGAACCCGTTTTGGGTGCGTCTGTTCTTGCTGTATTTCTCTACGTTTCTGATTAAGTAGAGTAGCTTTTGCTTGAAAGGTCTGCGGTTGTGTTTGCTCCGTTTCTTACTGCTGAATCAGTTTCTGCCTGTTTGGAGAGCGTGTTTGTACAGTCAGCTTTTGTTGCGTGTGGCTGGTACAACCTTTAACCAGACTGATGGGATGTCATCCTCTCCGTTGTTCCTCATAGTTCATAAGTCCTCTCGTTGCACATGAAGCACCAAGAAAAACAGGYTGGTTTGTGTTTCTCTTGTTCTGCATCGGGTTTTTCACCTCGTAGAGGTTTAGCTTTGTTAGCTTGTGCGGTACTGGTGCTGAACACTTGGTTTCCTGCGTTTTCCAGCTGTGCTGGTTTCTGTAACCAGTCAGTTTGGTGGCTTTTTGACCACGTTTAGAGGGTCGCGCCATCCTGAGCTGAGGATTATTAAACATGGCTGTGGCTAATTCAAAGTTTGGCTCAGGTAAAGTATGAAAGACAAAATATCAAGATGTCTTCTTTTTTTGCATAAAAGCCGTTAAATTGTTTATAGTCAAATATGACATTTAAGCTGAGGTCTATAAAGTACTTGGAAAAAATAACTAAAAGTAAAATTGTATGAACAGAAAACGACTGGTAAAAATAAATGTCACTGATGAGAAAACTACTCAAGTAAAAGTCATTAAACTGTTCACATAAATTGGGAAAGTAAAAGTACTTTTACACACTTTCTAAGAAATAAACTGTTGAATTTACTGAACTAAACTGGTTCCACTAAACCAGGTTGAGTAAACTGATCAATATATGTATATTTTTAGCTGACATGACTTTGTTGAGTAAATTCAACTCTTCATTTTTTAGAGCAGAAACATCTTTCATGATGAGTTCAAACATATTTAATTTTGTAACGAGTAACTAGGTGTTACATTTTAAAGTAAAGAAGTAAAAGTATAATTTTTAGCTTTAAAATTTAATGAAATAAAAGCAAAAGTAGCTATTTAAAAATTGTTGGTAAAATTTCAAATCCTCAAATAAACCACTTAAGTACTGTAGCGAAGTTAATGTACTTAGTTACTATAAACCTCTGCATTTAAGTAATATTTTGTGTTTCTGTAAAAATAATCTCACATTAGAGTGAAGAAAGAAACTTGATTCTCTTGCAAAGCAGACGTATAATTCAGATGTTTTCAGAGTGGTTCTTGAACTTTATTTGACTTGAATACAACGCAGGATTTGTTCAGTTTGAAAGAGAAATATGCATATTCTTCTGACAGACAAGTGTTTCATTCAGACAGATTGTTTTGGTCCCATAAAAAACTTCTTGGAAGTCCTAAAATAGTTTGTTTTGTTGACTTATTAAATGAACTTGCTGTATTTATGTAAAAGCTAGAAATGCTGTGTATTTATAGCTGTTATAGGACTGATTGTTGTGAAGCAGCTCTTGTGTCGTCGTGCTTGTTTCTCACTGGATTTTTACTACAGTTGAAGTTTTTCACCCTAAATATTTTAATGGGGCTGTAAATCTTAATAAATACAAAGAATGACCTCCTTTTTTTCTCTGTTTGTGCCTGTGTTATCTTTTCTGATGTTTTTTTTCTTCTTCAGCCATGCAGCAGGTCCTGGACAACCTTAAAGACCTGCCATCAGCCACTGGAGCCAAAGACATCGACCTCATCTTCCTCAGAGGCATCATGGAGAGTCCCATCGTCCGTTCCCTCGCCAAGGTGAAGCACAGATTCACAGATCCTCCTCCTGTGTTTTCACACGGGCAGGAAAATGTTGACCTCACTTTCAGCTCCTCTTCGCTCTGCTCGAGAGGAAGAACACTTTAAAGAGGCCGACACGAAGCGATGGTTATGTAATCTGTAGGAAAAAAGAAGTTTGAAGTGTGTGGGATGGGAGAATAGATTTTTATTGTTAACTTTTAACTCGCTAAATATTTGGTGAGCTAATTTTAGGATAATTATCTCTGAAGTTTACCTTCAGCCCATTTCACTGCACAGTTCTATGACTTTTCTGATTATTTTTAGGGCTGCAACAATGAATCGCATTTGCAACAAATTTATCGATTTGTTGTCGTGCGATTTATACGGGCCATAAAACACTGTTTCAGTCAGACAGAACTAACAASAAGSAGGCAAAAAGTAAAAAATCTGAGAAAAATCATAAATGCTAAATGTAAATAAATTCAAATTATAACAATAAATTAGTTTTATATCTAAACATCATATTTTATTTTCTTCTGTTTTCCTCATTCAGCAACTTATTAAATTTCTGTTTTATGTTTTACAGATATAACCAAGTTTATTAATGTACAAGAAATCCACATTTTTTTTCAGTCAGTATTTAATACTACTGGCAAAATAAATAGTTAAAATATTTATGATGTGCTTCTGTTTTTTAATTCAGCAGATTATAAAGAAAATCCTTCATGTTATGAAAAGACCCTCTTGATTCAAGAGAAAACTCTGGTTTTTAAGAAAATGGCTGCTTATCAATTAATCATTAGTCAATCTATAAGATAAATTTACTTCAGATTAATTCATTAATCAATAACTTGCATCCTTAGTTTATACAGGAATGAAATTAAGTTATATCTACTCATTATGTCATTAAGAGATTTAATCGAAAAAATAATCGACAGATAAATCGATTATTAAAATAATTGTTGGTTTCAGCCCCATTTGTTATGTTTTGGTTTCAGGCCCACGAGCGTCTTGAGGAGGTTAAGTTAGAAGCTGTGCGGGACGACAACGTTCAGCTGGTGGCAGAGATCTTGGATTCTCTCAACAAGCTGCCAGATAAAGATCCTGCTGCTGCTGAGCTCGTCCGGATCCTCCAGGAGCCGCACTTCAAGGTTTTTGAGGTTTCTTTTTCAGTCAGCTTTTACAAGATTTAACGAGTGGTGGTTGATGGTTGGCTGCACAATGAGAAAATGTCTTTTTCTTGTGATTTTTAATGTTTTGTTTTTTGTTAAAAAAATATCACAAAACGTACATCAACCAGTCATTTAAGAGAGAGGATGGAGGGCTGATATCCTGCATGTTTTACTTGTTTCCCTGCTTCAACAAACCTGATTCATTGATTAAATCACCTCCTCAAGTTCTACAGGAGCCTGTTAGTCACCCATTTATTCAAATCAGGCAGTGTTTTAAAAAGTACCATAAAGTCATACTTGAGTAAAAGTACAAGTATCTTACCAAAAAATTACTTTGGTAAAAGTTAAAGCCTCCTTTAGGAATATTACTTGAGTAAAAGTCTTAAAGTATCTGATATTTTTTGTACTTAAGTATTAAAAGTAAAAGTGTTGATTTAAAATGAGCAGTTAGATTTTACTTAATTAAAATAATTAATTGATGTTAAATTTAGGATGCACTAGTCCAGCTGTTTCAGTTTATATACATATATCAAGGCTGCACAAAGCTTTTCTTCAAAATGAAAATCTATCTGAGGGCTGCGGCCAAATGTAATAATATAATTCATGAAATACAAATACTTCTTAAGTACAGTACTTTTATTTGAATGATTGTGTCCTTCTGGAGTGTGACATGATTTGTTTGTGTACAAACTAATACGGTGTCAGAGTTTTATATATTTATACTTCTCATTCAACCACAGTTAAATTCACTCTATCTAGGAGGCTCAGTTTATATGGATAGTTTTTATTTTTTACAATAACAAGCTGGAATGAAAACAAGCAAAAATGAAATAAAAGTAACGACTTTCTACTTCTTGTCTTTTTTAAAAAATGCAAGAAATAAAAAGTAGGCTGAACAATAATTACTCAAGTAAAGTATAGATACCCAAAAATTCTACTTAAGTGCAGAAATTAAATCTTTGTACTTTGTTACTTAACAACTCTGGAATCAGGTGTGTTGGAGCAGACAACACTTGTGGTTTTGGATGCTGTGGTTGTGTTTAAAGTCTTGAATAATAGCGTGAGACAAATCTTCATGTGTTCTCTTGTCTCTCCTGCTCTGTCTCAGTCTTTGATAGAGGCCCACGACAAAGTGGCYGCCAAGTCCTACGAAGCGCCCAACGCCACGGAGAACTGCAATTCTTTTTTGCCAAGCTCGCTCATGCCCGCCGACGCCRTCAGGATGATCGGCATCCAGAAGAAAGCCGGGGAGCCTCTGGTGAGTTGGTCCGGCGTTTGTCGTGTTTTTTTTCCAGCTCACTTGTGTTGTATYGACGAAGCCGAGGCTCAGTTTTACGTTTCAGCTTTTAAATCGGGAAAGTTCCTCCGCAGCAACGCGGCATTCCAAACCACAAAACGGGCCCCTGATTTACGACCYGCGAACGACTCGTGCTCTCTGTTTCAGGGGGTGACGTTCCGCGCGGTGCGGGGGGACATGGTGATCGCTCGGATCCTGCACGGCAGCTCCATCGACAGGCAGGGCATGCTGCACGCGGGGGACGTCATCTGCGAGGTSAACGGCCGAGAGGTGGGCAGCGACCCCCGCGAGCTGCAGGAGCTGCTGAAGGACTGCAGCGGGAGCGTCACGCTGAAGGTCCTGCCCAGCTATAGGGACACACCGGCGCTCCCGCAGGTGAGGGCATGGGAGGTTTCACCGATTTAACGCTCGGGGCGATGACTGGATCGATCCAGAACCTGTCAGGGRCTGGATGAGAGCAGCTCCACTGCCTGTTCACAAAATGCCAGGCTTTTGAAAACTGAGTCCACAAGGACCTATTTATACCCCTCCACACACAAACTGGGACACGCACACACACTGTTCTGATTCTCAGTGTGCAGCAGCTGACACTGCAGAGTGTTGAGGTGACGTCAGAAACCAACCTGTGTGCCAACAGGAACCAAATGATTACACGATTTATTTATTTTTTTACAGTTGCATCTGCTCATCCTCATTCAGTCCTTTGTGTTCAAACGTTAACAACACATGACAAACTTGTTCACATAAAGCAGATTAAACTAAACAGTTACTGAAAGCCAACAGCTCAGAGGAAAAACATCTGACAATTATGTCTTTATTTCAATTTAAAATCTAGTTTTATTCTAGATGAACTCATCAGCCCTGATAAATTATTTTAACAAGGCAGATAGTCGCTACATAAATGAGTCAMAACAAAACTTGTATTTGTACAAGAAAAAACTAATTTTCTCTCGTTCTAAATTTGCA